AGCCCCACTGAGCGGGGACGTCTCTGAAATTGGACTCCCTTGGCTGGTGGGCACAATGGCTTCTCTCCTGCTTTTAGAGCTTGAGGGCAGACATTCATCTTGATGAATTCCCGAATTTAAAATCCGAAAGCATTAAATGGTTAAGGCAAGGAAGTAAGCATTTTAAAAAAATATTWAATTTTTACTTGTAGTTGGACACAATGCCTTTATTTTATTTATCTACTTTTATGCGGTGCTGAGGATCGAACCCAGGATCGAACCCAGGATGGAACCTCACATTATGCTAGGTGAGCGCTCTACCCCTGAGCCACAATCCCAGCCCCACAAGTAAGCATTTTATAAAAAATTCTATCTGTTTCTCCTTTCTTCCTCTTGAGTCCACCCTCCTGACCTGATCCAAGAATGCTAAAGAGGAACAGAGGAAAAACAGGTAGAATCCTTCTGTAAAGGATTCTGCTTTCTTGTGGAGCATTAAAAATGGAGCTGGGCCAGATCCACATATCCGAGAGCATCACTGAACTTGTCAGAACAGTTCCCCAACTCCTAACTCTGTTCATAAACCATTAACCGATTTGCCAAGAGCTCACAGATAGGCAAGGGGACCCCAAGCAGCAGACCCTGGTCTTTGGGAATTCCCTTCCCACCTATGCTCCTCCTTCCTCTTTACTTGCCTCAAGTCCCACCCTCTCCCCATCCTGGCTCTCCCAAGCCTCCTTCCTCTTCACAGTATCCAGTTTTCCTCTAAGCACATAGGATTTCTATGGCAACCAGCTTAAGATCATTTAAGGTCCTTTTCTGTCCGCATGCCAGGTAAGTGTTAACTTTTAGATTAACCTCCCACTTRTTTGGCAATTAGGTTTTCCCCCCTCTTAACCATATCAAAAGCACCTCGARGGCTGTGGGGAGAGGGAGCGCTTGCATTTTCATATAGTGGAAAGCTTGGGACTTGGATGTGGGCYGGGTATTTGTATCTTGGCTGCAGCACTTTCTAATTATCTTCGGAGGGCTACACAATCTCCTTGAGCCCATTTCCCCAAATTCCACATGAGAATTGTACGAATTTAATTCTGAGAATTCAAACAAAGTATGGAAAGAACCTAGGACACAGTAGGTGGTCCCATCAATAGGTGCTCTACTGTTATGTAGGAACTCTGCTTTTCATATGACTTTTTGAATCCTCCATAGACACTTTCATATGCAGAGGCAGCATCTGAAGCATTGACAAAGATCCTCTGATAACTCAAGTGMATTGAGTTTGAAAGGTCAAAGTCAATACATACAAAATACATTGAAAATACACACCCCTGACCAACAACAAGGACAACTAAACATAGATAAAGCATATGTGGTAGGATGTTATTAAGTGCTAAATATAGATGATGGGCATTTGGGTCTAATTCTTTCCACTTTTCTGAATTTAAAAAAAAAAAAACTTGGTACAAAAGATCAGACAGTAAAAGCAACAAGATTATTTTATATTTTGGGAGAAAGAGGGTTGATGCATGTTGTGGTTTAGATGTAAGGTGTCCCCCAAAAGCTCACTGTGAGATAAAGCAAGCATTTTCAGGGGTGAAGTGATTAGATTATGAGAGTTGTGGCCTAATCAGTGGATTAATCCATTTATAGGGATTAACTGGGTGGTAACTGTAGGCAGACAGAGTGTGGCTGGAGGAAGTAGGTCATTGATGGCTTGCCTTTGGAGTTTACATTTTGCACCCAGTGAGGGGAACTCTCTGCTTCTTGTTGTCATGCCCTGAGCTGCTTTCCTCCTCCACACCCTTTGGCCATGGTGTTYMGCCTTACCTCAGGCCCAGAGCAATGGAGGTGTYCATCTGCAACTCTGAAAYCACGAGTGCCAAATAAAACTTTTCCTCCTCTAAAATTGTTCTTGCCTGGTCTTTTGGTCACAGTGGCAAAAGGCTGACTAAGACAGTGCTATATTGATTTTTTTTTTTTTTTATTAGGCTCAGCAAGTACATGCTACACTTTGGATCTGGAATGTCTACCAAGGGTCCATGTGTTCAAGGCTGAGTCACRACTGTGTACTTACTATTAGGAGGTGGAGCAACCTTAGGAGGTGGGAATTAGCGAGAGGTCTTTAGGTAATTAGGAGGCAACYCCGAAGGAGACTCCTTTGGTCTTTCTTTCTTTGCTCCCTGGCTCCTGACATGAGAACTTTTGCTCCATCATACACTCCTGCCATGATGTGCTGCCTCACAATAGGCCCAAAGTAAGAGGGTCGTTCTTGGTCTGGAATATCCAAAATGTCAAGACAAAATAAACCCTTTCTCTCTCTCTCTCTGGTACCAGGGATTGGACCCAGAAGCACTTAACCACTGAGCCACACCCCCAGCCCTTTTTTATTTTTTTAATTTTGAGACAGGGTCTTGCTAAATTAGTCTTGCTAGATGCCTTGCTAAATTGTTGCCATCCTCCTGTTGCAGCCTCCCAAGCTGCTGGGATTACAGGGGTGTGCCACTGCACCTGGCTAAACCTTTTCTTTTTATGAATTGATTATCTCATGTGATTTGTTATAGTAATGGAAATCTTACTAATAAAGTACAGAAAAAATTTTTTTGACATTAGTTTTCATGCTTTTTTTGCTTAAACTAATAATAACTAAAAAGCAATTTTTAAGAGCATCACCTACTATCACATGTATAAAATTAATGTTAAAAGGTGACAAAAGCCAATATGAAAAACATTTAAAAATATAATAAATATAATTAAATTAAATACACCCTCACATGCAACATGTAAAACTTGATACTGCAAGGTGAAACATAACCACTTTGTACACTAGGATCATCTGYTGGGTTGTTTCATGGATTAACCACCAGGGGACACTAGAGAGTAGCATTCTCAGGAACCACATAGCAAGAGAGAAATTCAGACCATTCAACCTGACACCGAGAAGTGTAAGTCCCGGAGAGTCACACTCATTACTACACCAACCCAGAGGTCTKGGGCCATGGATTTCAGCAGATCTGTTTGGTCTGTTGGGGAACATGCCTGACTGCAGGGGCAGAGCTGCCTGGAGCCAACGCAAGTGTGAGGCTGGTGTTGACACCTCAATGTGGCGTCTTAGACTCCCTGGACGCTGGGCTGAGGCAGTGTCAGAGCTGACAACTCTCACAGCCGCTCTGCCGTGAGCTGTAAGCACGGGGCAGAAATGGAAGATTCTTATCTGGGCTTCTAAGCCTTTCTTTAGTGAAGAGACTTGTTTTTAATACATTCTTAGTGGCACCAGCACATTCAGAAAAAATATGCATATTGAAGAGCTATAGAAAGCATATTTAGAAAAGTTATTTAGAAAAATTATTTCTATTCTTAAAGTACCATCCAGGCCAAACCCTTTATGTATGTATATAGGTTGAGGATCTCTTATCTGAAATGCTTGGGACAGAAGTGTTTTGGATTTCAGATTTTTTTTTTTCAGATCTTGGAATATTTGCGTATACATAATGAGTTGTCTTGGGGATGAGACTCAAGTCTAAACATGGAAATCATTTATGTTTCATATATACCTTATTATATGTATATGTCCTGAAGGTAATTTCTTACAATATTTTAAAAGTGCACCTTGTTTTGACTGCATCCTGTCACGTGGCTCAGTTCATTGAGTGCTTTAAACAAAACAGAAAAGAGCTGACGAAAAAGAGCAGCTCAGGCTTCCATGCTGGAGGGGAGGGAGGGTGTAGGATACCATAAAAGCCAGAGTGCTCTACCCTTAAAGGCTCAGATGACAAATAAAGCCAGAAGCCAGTGGACATAGGGCTGCTTAATATTCTTCTGTGTTTTTAAATTAGCCAGAACTTCAGTTAATTCACTTTCTTATTTGGGAGGAATTTATACTGCATTTCTACTTCTTCCCATTTATAGGCACCAGAAGGTCCACATGTAAAACTCAAAATGACCATTCATTGCTATGTTCAGATGTGGTTTCTCCCCCCACCCACTACAAAACACATGTAGAAATCYGGTTACCAAAGTTGAGTCTCAAGAACAGATCAGTTCTTATGGGAACAGATGAGTTCTTCAGGGAGTGGGTCATTGTTATAAAGCAGCTCAGCTCCTTTGTGCCCTCCCCTTCTTTGCAGGTGTTGCCTGCCCTTCTACTTCCCATGATGACCTCGACAGCACAGGRGCAGGCCCTCACCGGAAGCTGAGTAGATGCTGGCACCATGCTCTTGGCTTTCTAGTCACCAGAACTGTGAGTCAAAATGAACTCCTATTTTTTTTTGTTTTGTTTTTTACTAACACCCAGTCTCAGATGTTCTGTGATAGCAACAGAAAATGGATTGAGATATTCACGGTATTTAAATCTCCAATTCAGTTGCACCCCCAAGCACTCTTGGAGTTGGAGCACTAAGAGAGTCAGATACCAGGCTGCCACCAGACTCTATGCCATGGTGAGATGGGAAGCTTCATTCTCCACAGCTAATAACAAACTCAGAGTCCAGATGGCCCCAGGAGCCCCAGACATTTGCTGAGAAGCAAAAAACAGTTTCTGCAATTTTCAGAGAGAAAGCGAACACAGAAAAGATCCTCCCACCCCCTGCTTCTGAACACTGAGACCAGGGCCCTGATAGGAGGCCTCAGACCTGCACATTCCATTTCCCACCAGCCAAAGGGGCGGTGCTGTGGCCCTGCCTCCCTTTCATTGGAAATGAGCYGAAATTTCAGAATCTGTCCATTTGTTTTTTGAAAACAATTCCACTTTCATTTCACTTCAAAGATCTCAACTTACAAATATTAATGTGTACCCTTCCCTTTCATTTTTACATAATTTTCATAATGGTTATCTTGTATTTTTTTCCAAAATACATTTGTTGACACATGAGGATAATCTTGGCCCCTAAACATTACAGGGTGCTGCAGAAGATTCTGTGTGACCTTCTGACCCCAAACTCAAACTTCGACACATACTCAATGGCCATCACCATATACGCCCTTGTCAAAGTCCCCAAGCAAGATGCCCTTACCAAACGTGGCCTTACCTTTCCAAAGAAATGTTGAGTGGACACGGCCAAAGCATCAAAGCCACAGATGGCCCTCCTCAGCTCCCCCTGAATGAGGCCAAGCTGCCGGGCCTGCCGTTCACACCGGTCCTTCAGTCTCTGGACCAGCTGCCGCTCAGCCTCCCGGGCCTGCAGGTCAGGCTTGGGTGCAAACCCATTTCGAGGAACCACCGTCCTCTGCTTTGGGTAACCTATTTAAAAAAAAGAAAAGATGCATTCAACACACATGTGACAACAGTTTYTTATAACAGAGTTCGTTAAGAACAAGTTTGGCAGAGAAAGAATCGCTGSAGTTTGCCATTTTAAGTATTAAAAAGAAAAGAGAATAAAACCAGCCAAGGACTTAAATTATTCACTCTGTTTATGTGGTTCTAAGTGCAAAGTTTTATGCTTAGAAAAAGAATAGCAGACAAAAATCACCAAATKCCTTCCAGCTTCTGACATTTCTCTTAGGCCTGCTTGGAAAGACTGAAGCAGGTGTTTTTTCTTTCTTTTTTCTTAAAGAGGATTGATTGGCCAAAGGAAAGACAGTGGAGTGAATCTGACATATGAAAACAACACAATGTATCCCACCACTGTGTACATCCGTAAGAACGGGACCCTAGCTAGAGTAAGATATATGCCATGCTTGTATGATCATATCAAAATAGACTCGGCTGTCATGTTTAACTACAAAGAACCAATAAAAAATAAAAATAAAAAAGGGGATTGCTTTTAGAAAATGTCAAATGGGAAATCAATCAATTCATACAGATGGAAGTCAGACTCAGGAAACATAGCAACCTGGTCCTTGGGCCCCAGGTGGCAATCCCTCCATATTCCTTCCCTCCTTCAGATGGCTGCACTAGTACCCTGCCTTCAGTGCCAGGTTCAAATCACAACCCAGATCTCCTCTGCTCCAAGGACTTCTGACTTTCAGTTTCTACATAGCACCCATATACTGGCAGGTCCCCTCCAATTTGTTCCCCAGTGTGACTTTGTGTCACCTTAATGGCTAAGAGTCTCGTCCTAGCCACACTCACCTTTCATGGTGCTTCTCAGTCTTCCCTGCCCTGCAGCCGGAGTGACCTCTACAGACACAAGTTCCTCACCTGCATGGACTCCTTTGCTGCTCTCCACGGCAGTGCAAGGAAAGCCCACCCTCCATGCCTGCCCCACAAAACCCCCACCAGGCACATGTGGGAAGCTGTAGGACCACAGAAGAAGGAACCAGGAGCCCCACTTGGGACTGAGGGCTGGCATGGTGGCAGTGGGGAGAGGGGCATTAAGGAGAGGTGACTTTTAGGCTAAACTTTGAAAGAAGAGACACTCCAGGAGAGAGCACAGAGGAAACCAGTCCACTCTGAGCAAGGACCCCCAGGGGAGCAGCATCCTCCTGAAACCCCTGTCACACTGCTTAGACTCAGGCAAGCGGAAAGTCAGTGGTCAGCCGTGGACTTACACCCAAAGGCTGTTCCTTCCTGTGCTCAAGTATTCACCCTTCTAGAGGACAGGACTCGGACACTGACCGTCACGATCATGAATCACCTGCAATATTTCAAATGTTCCTTCTTCCTCTTTTGCCTTTTTCCCTTTCTTAAATATCAGGGAACAAACTATAAAACAAATGAGAAAATGATAGCTTCCTCGGTACCGGATAGGACACACGGGACAGTACTAGGCTCGTGAATACACAGGTGGCCTCGTTTTTTTGAGGGGGAAAGTGGTTTATGGATCTAAATACTTCTGATTGTTCATTTAATGACAACCATGCTCATTTTCCCTAAATCTTCCTTCTGTTCCAAGTCATCAGAGAGTGCAACGCAATCTTACACACGACATAATCTCAAATTCTTAGAATTTAATGGAATGGCAGGCTATGAAAGTATCGCTTCTGTTTTTATGAGATCAGAGAATATAATGTCTCAGAAAATTCACGTGCATGTTATAGGCAAATCAGTCTTTGTGTGTGCTTCATCTACACACTCTCAGTCCTAAATACAAGACTAACATAACCACCTAAAAGACACAAAACGTGTGGAATTTTACAGCCTACATTCAACTCTAAGACACAGTCTAAGACCTAAAGTAGATTTCCCCCCCCATAACTACTACTGTTTGTCATTTGGTTGTTGTGGCTGGGGAATTTATAAAACCCTTCAGGGCTTTAATCAATGCATTGAGGCTCCAGGTAGGTACCTGACACTGTCACATGGAGGGTAGTTCTTTAAAGGAATGATAAAACTTGCTTCCAGCTCAGTGAATTAAAGCTAATTGCCACCTATATTTTATAGTGTCACCTTAGAGCATGTGGCCCTTAGAATGCTCACTGTCCTGAATTTTCAGCTGTCAGATTTGTTCCTGGGTGGCATGCCTCTTAGGACTTATCATCTTTAAAAAGATTATCATCATTATCTTGATCATTGTTAATCATTAGGTTAGAACGCATCCTCAATGGTAAATGGACAACATAAAAGGATTTCATAAAATCCCCTTATTGGCCTTGACTTTGACATTGTTGACATTATTATACTGCTTTTACTCACACTCAAAATTCTAGTGTTCTATGGAAGAACAGTGCAGTCAGCTGACATTTCTACTCCTGGGGCCACCAAACAGCTGGTGTTCTGAGCCAAGACAGAGGCTCCCAAAAGATCAACTTTTTGGATCAACACACCAAGCAGAAGTTGAACTGCTCTGGGACCCCCCAACCACCTCGTGAAAACAATCCTTGTTTGGGAACCTTGTTAAATGGATCATCGTGCTCAGTGTCTTCTATAACATGACAAAGACCCAGTCCCTGGAGCTTAGACTTTGGAAGAGCTGAGAAATGAACTTGGCTGTGAAGTTCTCTACTGATTTTTAGTTTAAAAGGGTCCAGCCATTTTCTAAATACAGCTGGTCTTCGCTGTTCACAGATTCTGCATCTGAGGATTCAACCAAGTACCAATGGAGCTTCTTCCTCTTGTCAGTATTTCCTAAACAACGGAGTTGAACAGCTATTTACATAGCACTTACATTGTGTTAGATAATRTAAATAATCTAGAGATGACAAAGTATACAGGAAGATTGTGTAGGTCCTCTACAAATACTATACCATTTTATATACAAGGACTTTGGTATCCAAGGGAATCCTGAAACCAATCCCCCCCTGGATACAAAGGGAAGACTCTATGTAAAATGTTACTTTTCCTCAAATAATCATTTTTACTGTTGGAGACCCATTTTTACTGTTCACTAGAAGCAAGATTTTTTAGAGTCAACTTAGAGTTAACTCCCTGAAGTATCATTCTGTCATCTGTTTTCCTGTCCCCAGGATGGTCCATAAAGACAGTGTCACAGGCTCCTTTGCCAACGGGGGGAGAGACAGCTTGTGTGGGAAGTAGATGACAGACACCTAAGCAACCTCATCTGTGGCAAAAGAGGT